ATTCAGAGTGGTTTTGTGGCCCTGAAAAGTCTGTGCTCCACCTGTTCAACCCTCCTTCTCCCAGCTCTAGGCAGCCAGTTATCTTTTTGTTGTCTCAATAGTTTTGCCTTTTCCAGAATGTCATATAATTGGACTCATATAGCCATCATTAAGGTAGGCTTCTTTCACTTAGTAATAATGCATTTACGTTTCCTCCATGTCTGTTTATAGGTTGATAGCCCATTCCATTTTAACACTGAATAATATTCCACTGTCATGAGTACCACAATTTATTTATCCATTCAGCACTAAGGGACATCTTAGCGGCTTCCAACTTTTGGCTGTTTCAAATAAAGCTGCTATCAACATTCCTGTGCAGGCTTTGGTGTGGACATAATGTTTCAGCGTATTTAGGAAAATACCAAGTAGCGCGATTCCTGGATGGTATGGTAAGACTATGGTTAGTGTTGAAAGAACCCCCTGTCCTGCCTTCCCAAGTGGCTGCACCGTTTTCCCTTCCCACCAGCAGTGAGTGAGAGCTCTAGTCCCGCATCCTCACTTGCATTTGTATTGTCAGTGTTCCAGAGTTTGGTCACGCTAATCGGTGTTCAGGGGTGTCCTATTGTTTTCATTTGCATTTTCCTGATACATATACTATGGCGCATCTTTTCATATGCATGTTTGTCATCTGTGTATCTTCTTTGGTGAATTGTCTGTTAAGGGCCCATTATTTAATCTGGTTGCTTATTTTTTCATTAAGTCTTAAGAGTTCTTTGTATATTTTGGAAAACAGTCCTTTGTCAAATGTGTCTGTTGATAGCTTGTCCCAATCTGTGGCTTGTCTTCTTATTCTCTTGGCAGTGTCTTTCACAGAGCAGAAGTTTTTAATTTTAATGAAGTTTAGCTTATCAGTGATTTCTGTCATCGATAATGTCTGTGGTGTTCCATCTAAAAAAGGTCATCACCATATTCAAGGTCATCGAGGTGCTCTCCTATGTTATTTTGTAGGAGTTTTAGAGTTTCGCATTTTACATTTAGATCTATGATGCATTTCGAGTTAATTTTTCAAGGGTGTCAATTCTGTGTCTAGATTCATTTTTTTGTATGTGGATGTTGTTAGTCCTGCACTATTTGTTGAAAAAGACTACCTTTGCCCCATTGTTGGAGCAGACTATCTCTGCTTTTTCGTCAAAGATCAGTAGACTATGTTTATTTACATGGGCCTATTTGTGGGCTCTCTGTTCTGTTCCATTAATCTCTTTGACTATCCTTTTGCCAATGCCAAGCTGTCTTACATTTATTATTGTAGCTTTATAATAATTCTTGAAGTTGGAGAGTGTCAGTCTTCCAGTTTTGTTCTTTTCTTTCAATATAGTGTTAGCTCTTCTGGATCTTTTGCCTCTTCATATGAATTTTAGAATCACTTTGTTATCCACAAATAACTTTCTAAGATTTTTATTGGGATATTAGTTCTTCCCAACTTGATCTATATTCAATCTCCCTATCCATAAACAAGAATATATCTGCTTTTGTTTAGTTCTTTAATGTCATTCATCAGAGTTTTGTAGTTTTCCTTATATTGATCTTTTATATATTTTATTAGATTTTTACCAATTTCTTTTTTTGGGGTGCTAATGTAAATGTTGTTGGTTTGCTTTTGTTTTTGTTTTTTTTAATAACAGCTTTACTGAGATATACTCATAATTTACATACCTCTGTGTCTTTAATTTCGAATTTCACTTGTTCATTGCTGGTCTGTAGGAACGTAATTGACTTTTGTTTGTTAACCTCCCCTATGCTGCAACCGTGTTATTATCGCTTATTAGTTCCAGTAGTTTTTTTGTCCACTGTCTCATGTTTTTTACATAAATGATCACATCATCTGTGAACAAAGACAGTTTTATTTCTTTCTTCCTAGTCTCTGTTTTACACTTGCCAGCACTTTCATTCCAGTATGGTGTTGAAAGGATG